ATTGAAAGTCCTGCTAAGCACTCGATTGCTGTTGACATGTGTACTACCAACTGGTGCTTGTTTCGAGTATCTCTACCTTTCCTACAGTTTTAATATGCCGGAAAAGGGGGTCGGCGGGGGGTTGGCATACTTCCTAGAAACTTCTAAATGCGATTTTTCCTTGTTCACCTTAAACCTTGATTCTTCCCTCCTTCGTTCAGTAAGATGCTTCTGACATTGCCAAATCATTTTAAAGAACCCTTCAGTCCAACACTATACACGATTAAACAATGAGGAAAACGGATTACATGAGAAGCTGAACGGCTTTTAAAGGCCTTTGATTCGAAAGTTTCCGGAAGCATTGTGAACAATGTTTTTGCATTACCAAACACAAAATTTTAGTTTCCTGGCTTTTCAGGATTATTAGGAATAAGTGACATTTATTCCATGCAGCTTTTTAACGAATGACGCGAAATATTACATCAATTGAATGACAGCTGAAGTATTGCACCTGCAAAAAGGTATTTATAATAAATTCATAAAACTCTTGCAATTATTCTGACGCAGTTGATATAGATCAAGAAGGAGATGGGGAGGGATTCGGGAGCGGAGATGTGGACGGAGAGTAGCGGGGAATAGGAAAGGTAAAATGGATATGATGCGCAGTAGCACCTTCGTATATGTCATTCATTGCTCAGCACCTGCTTCGCCACGGACTTCAATAAATAATGGATTTAAAGTCAGCTCTTACCGGTTAATACCTGGAACAACCTGCGTCTGCCTGGATCGCCTTGCGAGTGATGTTTTCGTACGCCTACAAGCGTACATGCGTGCAAGTACTCGTGTCGGATACGTATGCGGGAAAACAGGGCTGTAGTTGTGTTTATGTGACGAAGCTGCAACAATTTGTTTGCAGAGAGTAAAATCGCGTCTTCCTCTGACTGCTCGTCGAAAATTTCTTTTTTGCACCTGCGAATTCAACTGATTTGCATACTGTATTCATTTTATGCGTTTTTGCTATGCAGCACTGTAGCGCTCCTACAACGAGCAAAAGCGCATATTGTCGAGAGGTCGTCTGTGTATGTGTGTCTGTCCGGAAGCGAGTGAACTTTGTCACCCACTTTCAACTCAACAACTAGGAAAGCTGGGAGGCTGAAATCTTGGAGACATATTTCCATCCCGTGTGTCACCTTCCTTTTAAGTTCTTCCCCCGTACATGCCTAGATCTCGATTTTGGGAACCAGGCAGGACAGAAAGCTAAAAATTTGTAGAGATATTCTACGTGCTTGTGTGAGCTAAAGATTTTAAACTCAGCCACTCCGCACGCCTGTACGGCGCGTACTGCCACGTCAAAGTTTGCACCTGGAACTGTGCTAACTCGAAAACTAGCCGGAGAACGGTGGCTGAAATTTTATTAGAACATTTATCGTGCATATGATAAATCGTATACCTAAAATTAGTTATGATTTGCACTTGCGCCACGAGTTAAGGCACTTCAAAGATCTTTGTGGCGAAGTGGCTATTTCGTTTACCGGATAATGTGCGAGGCTAAAACTTCGCTGGGATATCCTACTTTCAAGTGCGGTCTTAATTCTGTTGGGAAGTGAAATTCTCTGCAAGTGGTTGCGAGAAATACTCAACTTTATCACAAACTCAAAAACGAATGCACTTTGCAGCGAACAACCGATCTTATTTTCTTCCAATATCCAGTTCATTTACATATTTGGATTCTTGACGAATGACCGCTCTAGCAACATTTCTACTTTTCAATGAAGAACTGGAATTGGATGTTGGGAAAAGATGAGGGCGGTTATTCGCTGCAAAATGCACTCGCTTCTGAGCGAAACCTGTATAAAAAGCTGAGTAAAAACGAATGCTCGTGCCGTCTAGCCCGGTGTGTTTACTCTTCGCTAATTTTTGCTGAAAATAGCTGCATGTAGGTCTTCAGACAAACAGGCGTTTTAGTTGCAGAAAAAGTTTCCAAGAAAAGGCGCAACGCAACTCCGGACGCTTGTCAACGCGGCATCATCCCTTCCTTTCCCCTCTACCTTGTTTATCCGGTGATGCAATTTTTCAACACTTTAATGCAACACATTCATTCAAGTTTAACACTGTCCTGTGCTTTCCAGCAAAACTCAATATCCTTTTGAAGGAGTTGTATGGCTCTTTCAAATTCTAGCTCAAATTCAAGATACGATGCTATTCAGTGATATAAGTAGTAAAAGAAGGGTATGAGCCGCCATGCTAGTGGCTGGAAGCAGCTGTTTCGAATAACCACTCAACAATATTTGGTAAGAACAGTGCGTGCAAAATTTAACTCTCTGTCAACATGAATGCTCATAATTACAATTTACTCACATGGTTAGCATATGGTTAAAAAAATTGGGATGCAATTCACTCAGCTTAGGTTACACTGCGGCGTCAAAAAAAGGATGTGAAAATATATACCTGAGATATCATAAAAAATAAAATATAGACTTATAAAACGAAACGTTATGGTCGACCTGCTCAACACAATTTTAGGGCTATAGGTAGCCAACTTAGCAACATGTCAACTTAAGGGGAATCCACAAATCTAACAAAACATGAAACAGTAAAGCGTCAAGTCTTTCAACTGAGAAAGGACAGTGACTACGCAGCTACGATGCAGATATATCGCGAGGAAACTGTTGGATCAAACACAGCTCGTATGTGCGATGAGCATCCACAGCCCCTCAGATAGAACATGCGATCGAGAAGAACCAATGACTCCAACGCCGACTGTATCATTGTTTGCAGGAGCTGAAAGCCTTCATTAAATAATTACAAAGTATAACAGAAAACAAAACGCATCCATCGAAAATGCAACAAAGATCTGTTATACAGAGATGCTGCGAATCGCCGAAGATTTTGACAAACCTAACAGTACTTTGTGCGGAGGAAAGACGCTTCTGTACGTTTCAGCGTGAACGAACCGGAAACGAAGGTACACCGGCGCAAAGACAAGCCCAAGCTGCTGCACTTCATTCCGGCTTTCTTTCTCACCTATACGAGTGAAAGCGATTTCGGCCCTACACTGCTCAGGTCTATACGCAACTGGTATCTTCCCCATCTGCTGGGTATTGCCAGTGTTGGGCTAGAGCACTGTTCCAAATGATGGTAGTGCAAGGTACTCATGGAACAAATAATTCATCTGCATCATTTAGATCACGAAAAACCTTACCG